GCATAAAATATTTCTTTTGATAATAATAATAGTTATTGTGTTAACATTAATATAGCTTCTTTCTTTTTTTTTTTCATTTTTTTCCTGTTTTTGCTTTCTTTTTTTACAAATCTAATCTAAACCTTTATAATAATTAAATTTGAAAAAAGGAAAAAAAAAAACAAAAACAAAAACAAATACGCAAATTGTATATATTTTAGATAGTTAAATTAACAAAAAAAAAGTGATTGAAAGCTTTAAAAAAATTATATTAACCAATTTAGATAAGGAAAGAAAAAATTAAGTGTTGACAAGAATAGATTCTATATTAATAACAGGAATAATAATAATAATAATAATAATAATAATAATATTGATAATATTCATAGAATTAATAAAGAATAACAGTAGTAATAATAATATTAATAATTATAACAATAATAAAAGATATAAATAGTAGAAATTCTGAACAAATGTCAACCGTGGGATATTGCTGTGTTATGCCTATTTATATACCAGTTATTATTTTAGTTTTCTATTTTAATAAGTACAAACTGCTGCTGCCTGCTACTGCTAATTCTTTTTTCTTTTTATTTATCCCCTTTTCTTTCTCTGTTTTTTTTTAGACTTTTTTAATCCTAAATTAATGGTAGTCATAACCTTTACATAATGTTTTTTTTTTCTTTTGCTTAATTCAAAAAAAACAGAAAAAAAACAGAAAAAACTACAATCTTTAATAAAGAAGCAAAAAAATTATAATCTTTTTGTTTTTTAAACGAGAAAAGTGTTAAACAACAACAGCCAAAAAAAAAAAAAAAACCAGCAAATAATATCAGAAAAACTGTACAATAATCTATGCTAAACAGTTATCAAAAACCCAAACAGTAGCTGTCTGTAACCAGTTGCTGCAGTATGTTTAGTATCAGATGCAGTAAGTATCAGCAGCAGCAGCAGCAGTAGCAGCAGTAGCAGTAGAAGCAGCAGTAGCAGTAGCAGAAGCAGCAGTAGCAGTAGTAGTAGCAGCAGCAGCAGTAGCAGTAGCAGTAGCATTAGCATCAGAACTATTTGTATCAACTGCTGCTGTATCAAATAGCAGCAGTATTAGTTACTAATAGTAATAATAATATGATAACTAATAGGCAATACTGATACCTATCAGTCGGAGCAAATATCAATGTTAACAACAATATACTATCAACAACAAGTAATCAGCAGTAAATAATGAGTAAATAGTAATTAGCCTGATTAAAACTTTTTTACATTATTATTTTTTTTTT